AGTGGAAGGAGCTGGCACTGGGGAGTCCCTGCCCAGAGATGGGTACAGTATTTCATGTGAGGCCGAACCTGCGACTTGTAAAGTTGCAGGCGATGTGCCGGTATGAAATACAGTCCCACTCTGCTGAACACGCCAAGCTTTTTAGAGGCCAATTTGGCCTCCCTTCCAAGTGACCACGAAACTGCACACTATTCGATATGTCGACGCCAAGGATTCCGATACTGGCTGAGGCAGCAAAAGGAGTGCCTTAAAACTGAGGAGATACGACAAAGGGGTTCTTTTTAGCGGTAAAAGCCCAAACTTGTGTCTTCTGAGGATTAAACTGGACTAGATTTAGTCGCTCCCAATCCGAGACTTTGTTCAGCAAAGACTCGACTTCAGACACAAGTTTGTTCCGGTACTCGGTGACGTTTTCCCGAGAAATATTGGCACGGCCGGTATATAAGGCATCACCAGTGCTGCCGTCTGCATAGCAATGAATGCTACCAGTTAACAACATATCATTGATATGCAGGAGAAACAGCGTCGGTGATAGCACGCAGCCTTGTGGAACACCAGCGTTGATAGGCTTGAAATCAGAGCATGCACCGTCTACTACAACCTTGATGCTCCGATCAGCAAGGAAACTGGTGATCCATTTGCACAATTTCTCGGGAAGCCCATAGGAAGGAAGCTTCGAAAGAAGCGCTTTGTGCCAGAGTCGATCGAAAGCCTTTGCTATGTCCAAACTAACGGCCAATGCCTCCCCCTTGGACTCTAATGCCTCCGCCCATCTATGAGTTAAGTAGACTAGAAGATCATCAGTTGATCGACCCCGACGAAAACCGTACTGGCGGTCACTAATCAGCTGGTGATCCTCAAGGTACCTCATGAGCTGGCAGTTTAAAATGGATTCCATTATTTTGGAGAACAAGGAGGTGATGGCGATAGGCCTGTAGTTGGACGGGTCTGAGCGGTCGCCTTTTTTAGGGATCGGGTGGACCAAAGCTGTCTTCCATGAATTTGGGACTACGCCTTGGGAGTAGAAGTACCGAAAAAGACGCGATAAAACCGGTGACAACTCCGGAGCACACCTCTTCAGCACAATGGGAGGGACTCCATCCGGCCCACTAGACTTGCTGATGTCCAGGGAGAAAAGTGCTTTGCGAACCGAGCGCTGTGTAAATCGCACATCCGGCATGGAGCACTAACATCGCGGGATGGTCGGTGGTGTGTTCCCCCCGTCATCTAGAGTCGAGTTAGACGCAAAAAGAGAGCTCAACAGATCTGCTTTCTCCGTGTGCCAGTGAGTCGTCCTCTCTGTGCAGAGATAGAAGAGATGGCTGACAGAAGTTCCCTTGGACAGCCTTGGCGAAAGACCAGAATGCACGGGTTCCCGAAGGAAAGCGAACTAGCTTCTCGCCAATTCTGCCAATGTGCTCAGACCTTGCCTTGACAATGACGCTTTTGAAGGACCTGGAGGCGGAATTATACTTCTTTTTAAGTGCGCTGGTATTTACATCCCGAAACGTTGATGCGTCAGCCCAGGCCCGGTAGCACTCCTGCTTATAGCGTGATGCTATTTTACAGGAGCGACCAAACCATGGCTGGCCTCCGATGGGCACCACAGAGGATGGAATAAAAAGTTCCATACCCTGAAGTATCATTTCAGCTACAGAATCGGCAACAACGCTGTGATCTTCCGGCGAGAAGCAAACCTGCCCCCAAGGGTAGGATGCAAAAAAAGACCGCATCCCGTCCCAACTGACCTATAATGCCAAATATGGCGGCAAGATGCAGATCGCAACTGCGATTGGAGCGTGAGTGGCACCATACTCCGGATCAGACAATGGTCCGAAGAGCCCAGAGGGGCATCGACGGAGACCTGATATCCGTCCGGATGAGAGGTCAGCAGAAGGTCCAACAGGGAAGGTACATGGTCTTTTACATCTGGGATCCGCGTAGGCGAAGTAACCAGTTTGTCATACATACATATACACATAACACTAGATTTTTATAGTTGCCAAGAAATGGCTCTATAACCATCTCCATTACGCCAGAGGTAGAATGCTCAGACCAGCGACGGGTTGTAACGTTAAAGGACCAAGACTTGAGACGTCTAAAAAAGATGAAAAAAAAATTATGTGACACTTCTAGTAAGCTGCTAACTCCATGTTGTTCTAAATACGACGCCAGCTAATTTAGGTTAGATTTTATTCATTAATATTTTATAAATTTTGGAATTCGTGATAACGATGTATATAAATAGCTATCACGAAATATTATATTATTATTATATATAATAACTTTGTTATTTATGACGACTACGTATTAAATATCTGTTATGTTAAACTGACCACTTTGAACTGTAATGGCTCTGGCAACTGACCAGAAGCAAAGCTTCATACAACCGTACTATGATGTGTACACAACTACGAGCTTAAGGCGCGTGTATCGCGAGCACTCGTTACGTACAGAAAGAAACTGCTTTAAACCGGTTAGGCCTTTTTTATTTTAAATTAGGTAATGACTGCGCATACCCGATTCGCGGGGGAAAGGTCAGGGACCATACCATCATTCCTATTCCTCCACGATTCCACCTCGACTGTAGCGGTAGTGGGAGAGGACACCTTTCAAGCTGCAGCCCACAAACACATCCGAAGTGGGCTCACCAAGCCCACTAGGAAAGGATACCTCAAACCGGACCTTCACCTCTAGCCAGTCATGTGAAGTCTTCTTTGTTCACCGTGAGTGACCAAGCCATGGCTACTAAGCCCCTGCCACGACAAGTCGGAAACCCATTCGGGGAGGTACCCGACTAGGCCTGTGCTCAAATTCAGGCTCTTCACGTCTACACGTCGTGTATCGTGTTTGTTTTTTATTTAGTAACAGCAAATGAGTGTAAAAAATATTATAAATATAAATATAGTTTACTGTTCTATATGTGTAAACAATAATAGGAAGTATATATATATTACGGGTAAACTTAGAAGAATGAGTACTCCTAGTTTTACCGGGATACACTTAGGATTATTTAAGTTCCTCGGAAAAAGCCCGAAATATCACGAAAAACAATACAGATAGACAGAGATAGAGAATACAGGTAGACTCCGAATCTGTATATTGTATACTGTGTATACTGTGATATTTCGGGTTATGCCCAAGGAACTTAAATAATCCTGTGTACATGGGCAAACCTAAGTTTACTCAATCTTCTATGTTTACCCGTAACATTTATAATTAATTATTATTATTATATTATTATATTGCAACTTGCAAATAAAGTTAATAAAAATATATAATTTTTAATTATTCCAAACTAATTAGTACTGAAATATATTATATATTATTTTTACTGTGGTAAATAGAAATATCATACATATATGTTATTACACACAGCAACAAATAACAAATTTGTTATAATCATATAATTTGCAAAAATTTCGCAAATATTTTGATTTAGAAATTATCATTATTAAATTAAAAAGTGTGCAAACTTGTATATGCTATGTGCGTGCTGTGTATTACATAATCTAAGAATCTTTACATTTAAAACTTACTATTCAACTAAAAACTACAACAAATTATTCAAAAACAAAAAATATTAAAATAATATATTTAGAGTTCGTAAAAAAATATTTTATCATAGGTACATAACAAAAATCTTTTTTATTATTATCCTCCTGTGTAAACCCTACCAGAATAAGTCAAATTTTCAAACGCTATGGTGTGTGACTTGGAGTTCTAAATTTAAATAAATTTTACATTTAAGCTATGTCATTCCTTTTAATAAATCATTCATTTATTTCTTTGAGTTTTCTTTTTCTGCAATATCACTATACTTACAACCAATGGACTCTTAGAAAATTCGTAATATAGTCGAAAATTAGTTCCGAAGAGAAAACAATAGGTTTCAAGCGGTACAAAATATTAATAATCTACAGGAGAAGCCCGCGCAAGAATCATAGTAAAGTAAAGATTCTATAAAAAAAAAACAAGTGGCGTAAGTGAATCCCTCACCATGTTTCAAGCCATCAGTGTGATAAACCATCTCGTTTAGACTAGACTTAAAATACTTTGACCTGTATCGGGCAGCAGCGTCTATAGTGCGAGACATCTGCTGCTGCGATCTTATATCCACCAGCGGATCGCGACGACTCAAATAGTTACTGAAATCGATAGAGATTGATGCCCATATCTTCAAACTGCTGTCACCAACCCAAGCGTGGCAATTTTGGCGAATATCCCGCCTATTAGGTTTGTACGTGGTAGAGCCACACTGCAGGTATATCATGATTGTAGCACTAATGAATCCGCTCGACTGAGGTAGGACCACACTCTCACAGAATACCAGCTAAAATATGATATATAATGTTTCTTATAGTGAGTGTAGAGAACCGGAGACGTTTTTTTACTGGAAATGAGGCATTACATCTTAGTACTCAGGATGCTTATGGGCCACAGCATCCACTTATCATCAGATGGACTGTGTGCTCGTTTGTTACGCTTATTTATTAAAAAAGTTTGTTCAACAGTGTACTTTAATAGGTTGGTACGAGAATAGTAGGGGATATCATTGAATCTTTTTTTATAACAGGGGAGGTACACGAGCTTACGTCTCCCCTGATGGTAAGTGATCACTGCGCCCATGTCCCTTTGCAACACCAGGGGAATCGCAGGAGCGTTACCGGCCCTTTAGAAAGGTTAGACTCTAAATTTTGACTTGAAATACACACAGAATAATGAATACTTTCATAAATGGTGTGTGTATTTCTCACTGGACTTTTACAGGTCGTGAAGAATATATTTTCTACATAATATCAGCGTTAAACAGCAACATAATGCAGCTGAGTTTCATAAGCTGAGTGATTAGATACTTTTAACAGGTGAAGTCAATAAAGAAAACAAGTGATAAAATTAAACATTTTGTACAAACGACTTCAATATACATAATATTTTTTTTTTTTTTTTTTTATAGGAGAGGGGGCAAACGAGCATGCGGCTCACCTGATGGTAAGTGACTACCGCCGCCCATGAACAACCGCAACACCAGGGGAATTGCAGATGCGTTGCCGGCCTTTTAAAAAGGAGTAGGCTCTTTTCTTGAAGGTCCCTAAGTCGTATCGGTCCGGAAAAATCGCTGGTGGTAAACTATTCCACAAGGAAGTTGTGCGAGGAAGAAAACATCTTCTAAATCGCACAGTGGTGGACCGCCAATCATCCAGATGGTGTGGATGGTATCGGGAGTTCTGCCGCGATGTGCGTTCGTGAAATTTGGCGGCTGGGATTAATCCGAACAATTCCTCAGAGCACTCCCCATGGTAAATGCGAAAGAAAATGCTAAGAGATGCAACATCTCTTCTCAGTGCCAATGAGTCGAGCCGATCGGAAAGGACTCGGTCGTCGACGATTCGAGCCGCTCTGCGCTGGATGCGGTCAAGTGGAAGAAGCTGGCACTGGGGAGCCCCAGCCCAGAGATGGGAACAGTATTCCATGTGAGGCCGAACCTGCGCCTTGTAAAGTTGCAGGCGTTGAGCCGGCATGAAATACTGTCCCGCTCTGCTGAGCACGCCAAGCTTTTTAGAGGCCAATTTGGCCTTCTCTTCCAAGTGACCACAAAACTGCACGCTACTCGATATGTCGACGCCAAGGATTCCGATACTGGCTGAGGCAACAAGGGGAGTACCTTGAAACTGAGGAGATACGACAAAGGGGTTCTTTTTAGCGGTAAACGCGCAAACTTGTGTCTTCTGAGGATTAAACTGGACTAGATTTAGTCGCCCCCAATCCGAGACTTTGTCCAGCAAAGACTCGACTTCAGACACAAGTTTGTTCCGGTACTCGGTGACGTTTTCCCGAGAAATATTGGCACGGCCGGTGTATAGAGCATCACCAGTGCTGTCATCTGCATAGCAATGAATGCTACCAGCTTGCAACATATCATTGATATGCAGAAGAAACAGCGTTGGTGATAGCACGCAGCCTTGTGGAACACCAGCGTTAATAGGCTTGTAGTCGGAGCATGCACCGTCTACAACGACCTTGATGCTCCGATCTGCAAGAAAGCTGGTGATCCAATTGCATAATTTCTCGGGAAGCCCATAGGAAGGGAGCTTCGAAAGAAGCGCTTTGTGCCAAACCCGATCGAAGGCCTTCGCAATGTCCAAACTAACGGCCAATGCCTCCCCCTTGGACTCTACTGCCAACGCCCATCTATGAGTTAAGTAGACCAGAAGATCACCAGCTGATCGACCCCGACGAAAACCGTACTGGCGGTCACTAATCAGCTGGTGATCCTCAAGGTACCGCATGAGGTGGCAGTTTACAACGGATTCCATTATTTTGGAGAACAAGGGGGTGATGGCGATAGGCCTGTAGTTGGACGGATCTGAGCGGTCGCCTTTTTTAGGGATCGGGTGGACAAAAGCTGTCTTCCATGATTTCGGGACTACGCCTAGGGAGTAGGAGTACCGGAAAAGACGCGTTAGAACCGGTGCCAATTCCGGAGCACACGTCCTCAGCACAATTGGGGGGATTCCGTCAGGCCCACTCGACTTGTGGATGTCAAGGGAGCGGAGTGCTCTGCGAACCGAGCGCTGTGAGAATCGCACATCCGGCATGGAGCACTCACACCGCGGGATGGTCGGCGGTGTGTTCCCCCCGTCATCAACAGTCGAGTTGGACGCAAAAAGGGAGCCTAAAAGGTCGGCCTTCTCTTTTGCGTCGTGGGCCAGTGAGTCGTCCTCCCTGTGCAGAGATGGTAGTGATGGCTTACAGAAATTCCCTTGGACAGCCTTGGCGAGAGACCAGAATGCACGGGTTCCCGAAGGAAGGCGAACTAGTTTCTCGCCAATTCTGCCTATGTGCTCTGACTTTGCCTTGGCAATAACTCTTTTGAAGGACCTGGAGGCGAAGTTATACTTCTTTTTGAGTGTGCTGGTGTTTACATCCCGAGTCACCGAAGCCGCAGCCCAGGCTTGATAACACTCCTGCTTACTGCGTAATGCAGTCTTACAGGAGCGACCAAACCAAGGCTGAGATCTGCCTCCGATGGGTACCACAGATGATGGAATAAATAGTTCCATTCCCTGTAGCACTACATCAGTGACAGAGTCAGCAACAGCGCTGGGATCATCCGGCGAGAAGCAAACCCGCCCCCATGGGTAGGAAGCAAAGAAAGACCGCATTCCGTCCCAATCCGCCGACCTGTAATGCCAAACACGGCGGCAACCTGCAGAACGCAACCGCGAAGGGAGCGTGAGTGGCACCACACTCCGGATCAGACAATGGTCCGAAGAGCCAAGAGGGGCATCGACGGAAACCTGATATCCGTCCGGATGAGAGGTCAGCAGAAGGTCCAACAGGGAAGGTGTATGATCTTCAACATCTGGAATCCGCGTAGGCGATGTAACCAGTTGTGTCAGACCATATGCCAAGGCAAAGTCATAAACAGATCTCCCCGCATGATCGGTTAAACGTGAACCGAGCCATTCGGCGTGGTGGGCGTTAAAATCGCCAAGGATCACGATCTCTGCGGATGGGACCTGTTGTAGCAAGGAATCTGTAGCCATTTGGACGTGGTCGATGAGTCGGTCTGTTTCGGCATTACCGCTATGGGACCTATAGAGGCACACGTAGACGCGCGGATGGTCGTCGCTGTCTACGCGTAGCCAAAGGATGGACAGGTCCGAACCTTCAAGACTGCCGAGGCGTCGAGAACAGATGTCCTCTCTGACATACACGCAAACTCCAGCCCGAGGCACAAAGGAGTGCTCCAATTTGTACCCCGGGTAGGAGAGATACGAAGTATCAGCCGGAGAGGACACCTGCGTCTCGGTCAGAAAGAGCAAGGCCGGCTTCGCCGTCTCAAGATGGTAGTGGACGGCGTTTAGGTTCGAGTGAAGTCCCCTGATGTTGCAGAAATTCACGGATAGCGTGGCAGGGGTCGCCTTGGTCTTGTTGCTCAGTTTGCCCCGAGCAGTTATTGTGTTGAGCGGAATTTTGCCCCCCCCAGAATACGCGGGGCAGCCTGAGCACCCACGCTCAGGAGTGGAATAGCATGGTCGTGGATGCTCAGCGAGGGATTCTCCAGGGGTACTGGTACCCTCCTGGGGTAGTTTTTGACGTAATTCCGCTACCATGTTGATGGGGGGGGGGGGAATTGGGCATCCGGTCACCTGCACTCACCATACGAAACGCGGAAGCAGAGCTTCCACTTCACGCCGGTATTCTGTGAGGTCGTGGTACTAACCCGGCTCGAGCCGGCCCATACGTGCAACAGCAAAAGCTGCTGCAAGGCTCTACCACCGTTAAATAATATGAGAACATCATCAATGTAGTCGACGTCAATTAAATTAAGGATAATTCTAAAACTACTGGTCAGATCTTGATTAAATTTATATTGGATAGCCATATATCAGCTGTCGAATAAAAAAAGTATCATCAAAATTGGTTCATCTAAAAAAGTTCTGAAGTAACTATTAGTAATCTATTAGAAACTACGTATTCTGTCCAGAACTCCTCTCAAAATTTTGGTTTAGAGTGCCGCGGAGAATACCTCGTGCTCCTATCTAGCCTCTAGTATGCCCATTCCATAGGACGCTACTAGTATCGAATTTCGCGATCTCTAGAATGAGTCACAGTCACAGTATTTGTTGTATACATACAACAAATACTGTGACCATCACCAAATCCTTGACGACCATTGTATGAAAACCACTAAATTAAAAAAAAAACAATTTAAGACATGTAGCTTTTAGTTTTTAGCCCTATTATTTAACGTTTCATGGTGTAAGTGATGATTGCTTGTAGGTTATTGTGCATTATGTCCTAGATACTAAGCTTTAGCAATTAAGATTTTTACTGGGGTAACAATCGTTGGTAATCTAATTAAATTAAATAAAAAAACGAAATAAAAAGTAACACACATAAAAATACAGTCGAATTGAGCACCTCCTCCTTTTTTGAAGTCGGTTAAAAAGAAAAGAGAAGAGGTATTAATCTTATTCTTTTTTAATCTTATTCGTTTTCATACCAACGAAGCGTTTCTTTCTTTATCTTAGTCACAACAACATCTTACAAACCACACTTTTCTATGATCACACAATTTAAATTGAAAAATTAAATTTACCTCGCATAATATAGTAGTTAATTCGTGTTACAACTACATCGTTAATACTTAGTAGTGGTGTAGTTAGGCCCTAACTCATCAAAGTACGGTTAAGGATAATATTAAAGGACAGGGTTGTAACCATGACTAAGCTGTGTAAACCGACTCAGTCATCCATGATGCAGACGGCGTAATATCCACTTTGTAGATACGAAGTTGAAATTGACCGTAGGGATGTAAAATTAGGAACAGTGCACTAAAATATTTAATTGATCGAATGAAGTAAGTGTTGTTTTTAGAAATAAATGATGAGTGGTACGAATATTTTGTATTGTTTTGAAATTAAGTATCTCAATATAAGTAAGTTACAGTCTATATATACGTTGCACTGCTGGTCCCATTCACCCTATCATATTTGATTTGGGCTTAGGGCAAGGAAATGAACACCGTTGGCCACAATGCATGTCGGCCGATTTTTCATGTCTCCGATATTTTCATTTCTTAGACATGCAGGTTTCCTCACGTTATTTTTTTTCACCGCTGAGCACATGGCACATAAAATTATACTTAACAATTTCAATGGTGCCGGTGAGGGTTAAACCCGAATTGTTCGCGTATTGTTAACTTTTGTAGCGAGCGCTTCCTGTGTTATCATGTCTTAATATATATATATATATATATATATATATATATATATATATATATATATATATATATATCAAATTGTTTCTTTAAACTTTTATTTATTTATTTGTGTGGATCTCCAACAGTTGTACATAATAAATTACTTCTAACACATGCCTAACATCTAGAAATTACTATGTACTACCAATTATAGGAGAACTCATCATTCTAAAACAATAGCAGTGTTTATAATTTGCCTATTTTAATGGTAGTTGGAACAAACATAAGTCTAATGAAAATAAATAAAAAATTTATTGGTAAATCCAATTGGGCATGCCCTAAGCGCATTAAAAAAATTACGTATATCATGATTATACGGAATTTTAAAAGTAGTTTAAATACATTTTGACAGCACTTTCGGCTTCAACGCTCTCGAAACCAATGAAAATGACACCCATGTTAAAAAATTGATACCTATTGCAGCCGCTATCTTGGATTTACATTTCAACAGCACTATCGGCTTCAACGCCCGCGAAAACCATGAGAATGACACCCATGATGAAAAAATTGATACCTGTTGCAGCGGCCATCTTGGATTTACATTTCGATAACCCTATCGGCTTCAACTCTTTCGAAAACCATGAAAATGACACGCATGATGAAAAACTTGATACTTATTGCAGCCACCATCTTGGATTTACATTTCGACAGCACTATCGGCTTCAACACCCTGGAAAACCATTAAAATCACACCCATCATGAAAAAATTGGTATCTATTGCAGCCGCCATCTTGGATTTACATTTCGACAGCACTATCGGCTTCAACACCCTCGAAAACCATGAAAATGACACCCATGATGAAAAAATTTATACCTATTACAGCCGCAAACTTGGATTTACATTTCGACAGCATTATCAACATCAACACCCTCAAAAACCATGAAAATAACACCCAAGATAAAAAATTGATAACTATTGCAGCCACAATCTTGGATTTATATTTCGACAGCACTATGGGCTTCAACAGCCTCGAAAACCATGAAAATGACATCCATGGTGAAAAAAATTATACCTATTGCAGCCGCCACCTTGGATTTACATTTCGACAGCACTATCGGCTTCAACAGCCTCGAAAACCATGAAAATGACACCCATAATGAAAAAAATTGATATGTATTGCAGACGCCATTTTGGATTTGCATTTCGACAACCCTATCAGCTTCAACTCTCTCGAAAACCATGAAAATGACAGCCATGATGAATAAATTGATACCTATTGCAGCCGCCACCTTGGATTTACATTTCGACAGCACTATCGGCTTCAGCACCCTTGAAAACCATGAAAATGACACCCATGATAAAAAACTGATACTTACTTTTAGTACGTACTACTATTATTTATTCTGTGCTTTTAAAATATTGTAATAAAAAAATCTCTCATTATTATTATTAACAAGTATTTAAAAAATTGGTTATTCGAATATTATGTATTTGTACAGCGATCTTTTTGAGCCGCTGCAAACAACCGAAACAATGTCTACGACGGCGACTGACGCTGAACTGAGTGACGGAGTCTCTATTCCATTTAGTAATAATTTTTTCATACAAGGCTGCTGAATACACCGAAAATTTCTTTACAAAAATTTACTTCGCAAATATCCGTAATAAGTAAAAAAAAAATTTTTGTAAAGGCTTTTATATAATGGATTTCCGCAAAGTAACGCCTGATTCTATTAATTATACCGAAAATTACGTCATTTCGCAGCCGAAAAAAAATTATTATAACTAAACTAAACAAAATTAAACTGCCATTTACATTCAATGGCTTCCCATATAACAGATGAAGAGTTTTAAAAATATATTGAGCTGAACAATTGATATTTTCAAAAGTTATCGTGCTTACAAGCTTTGGGGAAATGATAAATCCACACCATAAGCCACGAAAACCCCTTTTTTATTTAAAAAAAGCAATTAATTGATTTAAAAAATATTAATAAGTTTAACAATCATTTGTCTTTCTGACAATGTGCTTTTTATATCACTTATATGTACAATATGACTGCTAAATACGATTTCATGCGACAAAACGTTGGAATCTTAATTTTTAAGCGATAGTAGAACATACCTTGCGCTTTCGCTTAAGGCATGCAATAAAAAATTTATTTTAAAAAAGTTTTATTTTGTATAGGTAATATTGCGTTTTATAAAAATACTGTCTGTGTGATATATGGAAATAGCTTTACACATAATTTTAGTCAGTTTAAGCCATGAACCTAATCGAAATGTACTATCAGTGGTATCAAAAATAATCTTTCCATGGATTACTATATTATACACTCGTGGAATCTTTTTCAGTCATTGGCAACACGCACTGGTTATGATTTAGAGGAATATTGGACAAAAAGTTTGTCGAAGCTAATTACTCGTATATATTATTTGCTGACTCTTTTTCTGCGTTGGAGTCCGTCTTAGTAGGTATCACTTATTACCTATTTCTGCCGCTTGCGTTGCCGTGTTCCAGTCTAAAGTATACAGAGAGCCAGAATAATTACTGGCTGTGAGGCATTCCATCTTATCTTATTCCTCAAGGGTGTCATTGCATCTGTAGCCTTCTTTGTATGAGTTTGGCCGCAGGTGTCTTTGGGCTACAGTTATCATCATCAAGTGGATTATAATTTTGTACGTTACTTCAGGTTTATATAAAAATAATTAAAATTTTATGTCCTCTTCGACGACCTCAAGCATCACACAAAGCATGATACACATTGAACAAAAATAACGTATTTCACCACGTTCAATTTAAACTTATTTTTAATTCCAGATGTTTCGATCCCTTTGCAGCACTCAAGGTCACAAGAAACTGAAAAGAGGACTCGTTTTTTCTAATTAATTAAACCCTCGTTTAAACAACATAGAGGCTCGGGGTTGACTTAAGAAAACTTTCGTAAGTCGAAGGACAGCTACTGCACACAGGCTGCTCGCAACTTATCCAACTTACATTAATTACCCTCTTTGTACAAACGAGGGGCAAGTTTGCGCCGCACACGCTCGTGTGTTGCTTTTAAGTTATATCTAGGATTACTTTGTACTAACCTCGTGTGAAGAAATCCGTTTTACTGTTATTCTAATTTATTACCATGTATTCATCTCGCTTTTAAATCCACTTCTGGATTCTGGAGGAGCTTTGGACCATTTAATAAAGAAAACAGGGGGACAAACAAGCACACTGTCTGATGGTGAGTGGATGCTGTAACCTATAGACACTACATCTATCCTTGATTAAAAATCAAAATGATAATAAATTTTAAACCCTGAGGACTAAGATGGAATGTATCGTAGCCAGTTAAGAGGGTCTCCAATTTTCTATACTCCCCTGTCAATTCAACACATTCGTGCTGCAGCAAAGC